CACCTCTTGGTCCTTCCCCCCAGCCCACAGGCTCTGGATCACTGGATGGCCAACGGAGAACCACAGGGAACTGGGGTGGGTGGCAGCGGGGCAGGACTGGGGACTGGTGAGCAGGCGGAAGGCAGACCTCTGGGTCCCCCACCCCCGGCACGTAGGCTCAGACCGCCGTATGGCAAACAGGGAACCACGGGGAACCGGGGTGGATGGTGGCGGGGTGGGACTGGGGACTGGCAAGCAGGCGGAAGAAGGCCCTGATTGCAGGCTAGGCCTAGGGACCCTACCAGTGCACAATTTCATGCACTGTGCCTCGTGTGTGTGTGTGTGTGTGTGTGTATCTATATATATATATATATATGGTCCAGTGTATGAAATTCATGCACGGATAGGGTCCCTAGGCCTGGCTGGGGATCAAGACCAATCGGGGCCTTCCTTCCCCCGGCTGCCAGCTGCCGGCCGGGGCCTTCCTTCATTCCACATCACCCCATAGGTCGAACTCCTGGTGGGTCAAACTCCAGAAGGGACAATTTGCATATTAGCCTTTTATTATATAGGATACCACTATTCATTCATTTGTAGGTAGACACTTGGGTCGATTCCACTTTTTGGCTATTGTTAATAATGCTGCTATGAACATGGGTGTACAAGTATCTCAAAACCCTGCTTTGAATTCTTTTGAATATATACCAAGTAGAATTACCAAGTCATACGGTAATTCCTTCTTTAATTTTTTGAGGAATTGTCATACTGTTTTCCATAGCAGCTGTACCATCTTATATTCCTACAATAGTGTATAAGTGTTTCGATTTCTCCACATCTGACCAAAATTATTTTTCATAGAAGTCATCTTAATGATTTTGCCCTCGGTAGGTGATGATCACAATTATCAAGTGTGAGTGAAAGGATTTCAATCTAAAATGGAACCAGAGAATACTAAATGGAGACTTTCCCACATGCACCCTCAGGAAAACAGAACTTAGGAATTAGAAAGTGATTTCCCATGTCTGATTCAGAGCTGAAACTTATTTCCTACCAATAAACATTGGTCAAGAATCTTGCCCAGCCAGCGTGGCTCAGTGGTAGAACCTATGAACCAGGAAGTCCCAGTCGGATTCCCGGTCAGGATTGATCCCCAGTGTGGGGCGTGCAGGAGGCAATTCCCTCTCATCACTGATGTTCCTCTCTCTCTCTCCCTCTCCTTTCCTCTCTGAATCAATAAAATATATATTATATATTTTAAAAAAAGACTCTTTCCACTTCCTCGAGCCAATGAATTTACTGCGTGGCCTCTGGCTGGGCTTGCCCATAAATACATCTCACCCCAAACTCTCAGGGCCTCGCCCGCAGCTTCAGTTTGAGCTTTCAGTCGTGCATGTCTCAACTTCTTAAAGGTTTAAGAAGGTCCCTGCAGATTAGCATGCAGTTTTAGAAATACAGTGACCCCCGTCTGTTTCAATTTCCCCAACTGTAACGTCCTGTAAAACTGCACAGCACAGCGCACCCGGGATCCTGGCATCCGAGGTCAAAACACACAGCAGTCTCTGTGCGGCCACACGTGCGCCAACTCACAAACCGTCCGACCGTCACTGCAACCTTCACATTTATCCTAAGACGTAGGACACCAACAGCCCCACCACGAGCGCTCACTACCCTTTCGTAGCCACACCACCTGCCGGTGTCAACGGGGACAGGACGGGCTCCGCCGCAGGGCGCCGGCGAGGGTGCCTGCACGGGGGCGGAGACGCAGCGGAGCGGGCCC